TTTACAGATACTGATTGAGATGGATCTTTAGATGATAGAAGATCAACTACTAGTTACTGCACACTTGTAAGAAGCAACTTAGTCACATGGAAAAGTAAGAAGTAAAGTGTGATTGTCTGCTCCAATGCTAAGGTAAAATATAGAGTAATAGCCCAAAGAGTATATGAATTACTATAGTTGAAAAAACTAATGAGGGAATTAAACTGCTTAAAAATGAGAGACTAACCCTATTTTGTGACAATAAAGCAACCATTAACATTACTCATAATCCAGTTCAACATAACAGGACAAAATACATTGAAATTTATCGACACTTTATAAAAGAAAATGTGGTTGATGGCTCTCTATGTTTATATCATGTATCTTCTGGCAACTAAGTGGTTGATATTTTCACTAGATGACTATGCAATAAATCTTTTCATAACCTGATTTGCAAGTTTGGTATGTGTGATTTTTTGCGCCAACTTAAAAGGGAGTGTTAATAAGGATTTCATGCTAAGTAGAATATTATGTTAAATATGATATTTTATTATCTAGAGTTTTAATAATAAATTTATATTTTATAATTAGAACTCACCTAGAATAAGGATAACTATTCCATATATACTTTTTAAGTATAAACACAAAACAAACGAAATAAAAATTAGTAATTTATTTTTCTCCAAAACTTTTCACACACTCAAACTTCACTCTGATGGGACTCTTAAACATTAGAAGGCTAGGTTGGTTGCACTTAATAATCGACAAAAATATGTGGTGGACTATGAGAAAACATATGCTCTTGTGGCTAAAATGACTACCGTGCAAATAATTATTGTCATTGCTACTTCAAAGTGTTGGCCACTTAAACAAATAGATGTCAAATATATTTTCTACATGGTGATCTCAAAGAGTATCTATATGACACCTCTCGGTTTGTTCGCTTCATCTACTTTTGAAGTTTGTAAGTTGAATCACTCATTGTATGATTTAAAACAAGCTCCCCATGCATGATTTGAGAAGTTTCAATCTATCTTGCTTTGATTTAAATTTGTGCAAAATCAATATGATTCTTTTTTGTTCCTGCATAAAACTTCTATTGTAATTATGCGTCTACTGGTTTATGTCGACAATATTATTATAAAGGGAATAAATTTTTTATTGATTACTCAATTTCAGCATCATTTTCGCAATTGATTTCATACGAAGGATCTTGACTAACTTACATATTTCTTAGGTGTAGAAGTTCACTCTAACTCTTCTGGTATATTCTTACTGATATCAGCATAAAAATACTCAAGACTTAATTTCTTTGGTTGATCTTTAGAATTCTTCTTCAGTTGATACTCCTCTAGAAACGAATGTTAAGTACCATATAGAAGAGGGAGAACTACTTTTTGATCCATCTTTGTATCGAAAATTAGTAGGGAGTTTAAACTACTTGACTATTACTAGACCTGCATTTCCTTTACTATCCAACAAGTTAGTCAGTTTTTGCACTTTCCGCGACACCTTCACTTGACTACAGTTTTTCGCATCATTAAATATCTCTGTGGTTCTCCCTGTCAAGATTTATTCTTTCTTGCTAGATCTTTTATGCAACTTAGTGCTTTTAGCGACACAAATTGAGCTAGTTGTCTAAATACTCGTCAGTCTGTCACAAGTTGGTATATGTTTGTTGGGGATTCCTTGATATCATGGAAGAGTAAGAAATAAGATCGGGTCTCTAAATCTTCCACCGAATTTGAGTATTGTATCATGTCTGCTACATACTCTGAGATTACTTGGCTTAGAGAGTTGATGACTGAACACGGGTTCCATCAATTTACTCCTACTCCTCTTCATGTAAATAATACAAATTCTATTTAGATTGCTACCAATTCAGTCTACTATAAGCATACCGAGTACATTAAAGTGGATTGCAATGCCACTACATTCGAGAGGCTACCCATATCATGTTATTTCTCTTCCACATGTTTCCACAACTTTGTAAATTGCTAATATGTTTACTAAGTCACTTATTCGACAATATCATCAATTTTTAGTTGATAAATTGATATTTTTTTATCAACCAACATCAATTTGAGGGGGTATGCTGCCATAAAAAAGAAGCATTTAATTTGTATAGCTAGTATATTTTATATTAAAAAATATTTAAAATTTGTATATTTTACATCTTTTCATAATTAGATTATAAAATTGTGAGTAGAGAGATATCAGACTTGATCATTATAAATTACTGTAAATTAATTTTTTAACTTTGTTACATTCACCTATTTATTCAATTAAAGAATACCATAAAAATATCAAGTCATTCAATCAAATTCTTTTGAATCAAAAGTTATCATTCGCCATTCATATTTACCAATTATTGGTACAAATGACAGAATGATTGGAGCGAAGGACAGCAGTGTACCAACATATGTCATCATGAGCTGGTATGAATAGTTCATCATATTTCTAGTAACTAACTAGCAGTAACTTAAAATTCAAACTACCCTAATTCATTCCCTACCCGCCTTATTCTTGACAAATGGTCGAGTCAAATTAGCATCCTCAGTAGCCTCAAGCCATTTCTCCTCATCTCTGTGAGGTATGTCAAAGCCAAGAATCCAGATCTTGTCTTCATATCATGGGGCATCAAAAATTTAAACTGAAAATTCAAATCAATTGTTCACTAATATAATTGGAGTTAGCATCCGTGCACATTCACCAAAAGCAAGTTAGGGAGAAACAGGCATTTAGATAACATAACTATTTCTTGCCTTCTCTATAATGTAATATATGAATATATGATTATTCTCAAAGAGGTCAAGATACCAATTTCCTCAGGGCAGCTAATTAAATGCTAACCTAAATTAATAAAAGTATTCCGGGCTTCTTTGTTTAGGGAGACATCTGATCTATCCAGCCTAGTTATTTCACTAATCTCAAGCCATTTTATTGAAGAATAAATAGTTAAATAAATGTATGAACAACCTGTCTGCTACTTGTACAACAGCCAGATCAGGGACATGCAGCATCCCATTTTTTTAATCTACCATATATAGATTTCCAATGCATCTGTGCAGAAATGCGTGTTCTCAAGTAGATAGGTAATGAATAATTCACAAATAAAGATGCCCTGAAGAGAGTCTC